TGACGTTTCGAGGGGGTGTTCAAAATTTAATGAATAAACATAATATACTAAAATAAAAATAGTAAATTATAAAATAAATAATAATACCTACCAATATTTAGGGCTTTTTTTAAAGTCAGGGGGTATCACCACTGGATTTATATATATATATATATATATATGTATATATAAAATAGTTATATGTGTTTTCGTTTTACAGAATACAGACTTCAAAAATCCCGTATACCAGTTGACAGACAAACAACGAAAAGACATGAAGCTACGTTACTACACTACCGACATTCACAAGGCGGCGTTTGCACTTCCCGGGTTTGTTGTCGACGCTCTCGATGATGCCGAAAACAATTTGCAATAATTTATATTACCTATATGCATAATATAAAAATATCCGGTGTACCACGTGAGGATCATATTAGTTGTCACATCATGTTACAATTTATATTGTGTTATTGCTACATGATTATACGATTTAAATTAAAAATCTATTTATTTTGCACATATTTAGTAGTTATACCTAGTTATTTTGATCGTTATATCTCTGTTTAAAAAATATTTATGTAATATAAATGATATGTATATATAGTATGTATAAGGGTACGTGTATACTGTATAGTATGTACCTAATATACATATACTTGCCTATATGTGGCTTGTGGCTTGTGACATCGTATATCATACCATTCATACCTCAAGTTACAGTAAATATTAGGTGCTATATATATTATATATAAGTCAACAACATTGAAATATGAGAATGAAAAAAAACATTAAACATGTATTTTACAATCACAATTGTGATGTTGCAAATATAGTTTACTTGCAACCATTAAATCTCTGCAAAATGTATAATAATACCATTTTGAGAAATTGACATTGGCCATCGCTCATCAGCCATCATACTAAAATATTTAAGTTTTGTATTATTTCACAGATCATACAATATAAATAGGTAGGTAACAAAAATTTATCTACCAGCTACCTTAAATTATAAATATTTTTATTATTTCTCCCCCAGTAGGTACACAATTTGGTTTTGAAGATTTGAATTCCATACTTTTAAGTGTTACCATCTGCAACATTTTGACGGCATTTATAAGGAATATGACACAGACATTTTAATGATACACTATCTATAAGGCGGTACGTTGTTCATATTAATAATAATAATAATCATATTCAATCTGAATACACAGAACTACAGACTGAAGTCAGCTTACAAATTACGATTACAAATTCTATTGGTACTAATTATAATTAGTTTAAGATATTGTGATAGGCGTATATATTTTAAAGTTAGTATTTGTGGTGGTAAATTATGGTTGATCTAGGAAGAAGTCCAGGAAATACTTTAATACAAAATGTACAATTTTGAAAATGCATGAAAGTAAGTCGAGGAGCTTAAAAATTAATGAATTTCTATCTTACAATAATTTCCGAATTTTCGTGATTTTTACGTATGTTGTCAAAATTCAAACTTTGAATGCTTATAAAAAAAATTTTGACTATGAATTTATTTTATTTTTCAACTACTATGCTAACAAATATGTTAGGAGCCATGTATTAAATTTTCAAGGATTTCTAACCAACAAATACATTTATTATCGATATTAATTTTAAAAGAACTAATAATAATCGAAAATTGCATATGCCTATAAATAGTTCAACTTAAGTCGATATTTTTTTTAAATTATATGGTCGATAGAATATACGCATATAAACATTCGGTGAAAATTTCATGTATCTATGGTCATTTGTTTTAAAGTTACATCAAAAACCAAAATCGATTTTGTCGAAAACTGATTGTGCGTAAAATTTCCCACCGTTTTTCCCTTAATTTTTAGTTTGTTTTTCTCGATTATTTAGAAAAGTGTTAAGAATTTTTTACATTTGACTCCCCAAAGTACCAACTAGATTCACTTTCTGATCGAACGAGGCACTTAAGTCGAAAATCTAAGTACTTTTACTGCCCCAAAACATGATGACACTATGACAGATACAAAAAAAAACACATGGTAAAATCAATACATTCCTCGCTCCGCTCAGAATCTAAAATAAAATAATAAACACCACAAATCATAGGTGTTCATACTCTTGTTTCCAAGGATATATTTAGTTCCGGTTCGAACCATTAATAGGATATTCACCGTGTCAGGAGAGAGAGGCTGCCATCTCCCACCCGGGCATGGCAGAAACCTACGGATGCCCGCTTGAAATTCTGCCAAATTAGGCTTCCGAACTAGGCCTTCATGCCTACTCCCAGACATAGCGCCATATGAAAAAAAAGCTATACTTTTTGTTTGCATGATGAAAATATATTTTATTAAAATAATAGTTATAATTATAATTTCATATATTTTATAGAACAGAATATAATTTTAGGATGTTTGAATGATTCTTATTTTATGTGAAAATATATAGGTTATATATTTTCAAATTGTATTCTTCTATTGGTGTTATACTTACAAATACATTTTAAATTTCTATTGTTTCAATAGATTATTCGGAATTAAAACCAAATACTTTAAGGTTTCCTGTATCTCTTTTCCTATCAAATTGTTCTTTATCGTCACATGCAAATGCTAATAAATACTGTTTTGGATGCCATGCCACAGTGAATGTTGCTGCTTCAATTGGTATATCAGTAATCTTAATTGGAATATATTACAATAAAAAATAACAATAAAATTGCAAGAATTATAACAGGTAATAAATATCTAAAATTAAATCTTACTTTTTCTCCTGTTGTAACATCTGCAATGTCCACATACAAATCTTCACTACCTGATGCCAACATTTTACCATCATACGAAAAACTTAAAGCTCGAACTGGCCAATCCAATCTAAATTTTTTGAGAGAAGAAAGATTCATTCCAAGAATATAGCAATAGTTGAATATAATTATTTTAAATAAATAAAAATTACTAAAATGTATTTGTAAACTAGGTACAATAGGTACATAGCAATTAAATTAAAATAATATAAAACCACAATTTAATAGAGGAACAGTTATATTGTTAACTGCATTGTCCTCCTTGGGAATATTTTCAACTTAATTAAAAGAAGATTAAAAATTCAACAGGCAAAAATGAACAACTGAAAGAGCATTTTATTTTATAATGGTTACCTGGTGTAAGTCTGTACACAAGCCAAATTCTCAAGATCCCATAAAGACACAGAAGCATCTGCCGAGCCTACAGCAAAATAATAGCCACTTGGTGCAAATTCTATACAAATACATGTACCCGGATGAGCTTTAACTACATGCCGCTGAACCAAGTCTGGGAAGCTATAAAAAAATTGAACAATAAATAATTAAGAGATCAATTACAAAAAAATAGATAATCGGACTTCAGAATGTCAGATTAATATATTTACCTTAATACATAAACACATCCTAGGCCATTTGTCAAGAAAAACAAATCATTTTCATTGTTCCATGACATTTCGTTCACTTCAAAATTGAATTGTTGTTCACTAATCGGTTTAAGGGTGCGAATATCAATGAAAGTTATCAAGTCTTCTTTATTTCCAACAGCAATTGTATGTCCGTCAGGAGACCATGTGATATTAATATTCTCTCCTATACACAAAAACAAGTGTTATTACCTATTTGAAATGGATTCAATGAAAAAGATTCTTCTAGCTATTTAACTACCTTTAGTTAAAATGGTATTGGAACATTTCTGGTGTCTTACATCCCATACTTTGACTGTTTTGTCACCACTAGCTGTGCTTAATAAATCTGGATTAGACTTATGCCAACATAATTGATCCACACTACCACTGTGTCCTTTATATGTGTATTCCTTGTTCTATCCATAAATAAGTTAGAAATTAATGAAAATACATTTATTGTTAAAAGGCATCAAAGCAAAATGTTGTAGAACATTTTACTGTAATATGATGTTAATTGACAATTTTGATAAATTAACATTTATCAACAATTCTTAGACGTTTAATCTTAAATGCGAATACCTAAACATACTTTATATTGCCAAAAGATAAATAAATATCAAATAACAATATCTTTAAAAGTTAATATATAGATTATAAAGTGAATTTTGAGTATTTTTTTCAATTAAGTTATACTCAATTTGACTAAAAAACTTTTATTGAAGTAAAACAATAGGTACCAATATATTTAAAAGCAATCTCCCAATTTGAAGTAAACTAAACATATAGTGTTAATAATACAATTATGGTATGYAGTCTACAATAATAATTGTATTAAATTCAGTGAGTTACATAAAATAATTAAAAACATATTATTAATAAACCTGTAATTTAAGCATAGATTGTTCAATAAAAAATGTACTAAACAATTCTTTAAAATCATTATAGACTGCTTTAATACAGTCTAACTTTTTGCTTTGACACCCATTAATTTATTATACTAAATATTTTTATATCACATACCTAGATGATCTCAAGTTTCCTTATAGCTATTCAAATATAATTGGAAATTAATAACCATTTTGACATTTTGAAAGTAAAAACATTGACTCAAAATTAAAGCTTAAACAATGATAAAAAAAAGACTATATGCACGGTGTCAACAGATATATTTGATTATATAGGTTCAATTTTAAAATATTATATCATATTTTTATAATATAAATTAATACAATCTTACTCCAATTCACAAACTCAATTTGATATTAACATTTAGTAAAACAAAACTTAATAGTTAATTTTCATTGTTTAGCAATACAATTTTCTTTGTCATTTAGTATTTTTTATGGAAAAGTCGTGTATCCTATACCTAAAAATCTATTTAATAAATTACTAGCAGTCAAAAAATTTAAAAAATAAATACATTATAATATATCAGTATAATATACATAATGCATGCATTTTATATTCAAAAACTTACAAATTGGAAAAAAGAAATTAAATATACTAGGTATTAGAATAAATGTGTTAACCATAGTAACAGAGAAATATAAATTTAATTCACAGATATAACATTTTGCTTTGACCACCTTTTTTTTAAACTAAAATGTATTAAATAAGCATTTTCTAATAGGTAAAATCAATGTAATACTCAATTAGTAAACATTTTTGTTCAACAAATACAACTTTTATTTTACTATAATACAGGTACACTACAAATGAAATAGTTAATTTGTTTTTGTTATATAGATAACAAAACACATACCATTTATTTATATAAATATTAAATTTACTAAGTCTATTAAAAGAACAGCAAACCAAAGCCCCACTGATTTTTATTTAATACAATAGAATCATTATTTGAATATAAAACTGGTAAACAATAATTAATTTCTAATCTCATTAAATTATTGACGTTTAATGCTAAACCAGCTCCATATGATAGTCGTATGTTGTTGATCAATCCTCGTATGTCTTTGGTTAGGTTTCCTAGACGATTTCCAACATTTCCGGAATTCATAAACAAATGTATCCTTATCAAATTGGAAAGTTTATTTTTTTTAGATAAAAATGGAAGTGGAGCATGTACATGAGTATTGTATCTCCAAAACATTGAAGAACCTGTTATGCTCCCATCTTCATTTTTACCTACGCCACATTCTTCAAATCCTCTGAAAGTCAATGGTCCACCGAGATAAAAATTATCTAAGATACTGCATGTTCCAGAGGATGTTCCAATTTTGTCTAATATTCCAAAAGAAAAAGATCCAGTAACAGCAAAACCTAGAATTGTGCTAAATGTATGTTGAAAGGTCAAATCATTTTTAATGAACTCATGGCTACCACCAATCCCAGCAAATTCTGAGCAACACTGGACTAGTGATCCATAACTAGGAAACACACCACTATCACGAGTATCATAAGAAGCCGTAATTTTAACAGACGACTTCATGGTAAGTCCAAGCTGTTCTCGTATACCAAATGGTGCATTTTGTGCATACTTTAAATCTCTAGCCACTCCTTCCCATAATAAGTTTAGTTTCAAATATTCATGGTTTAAATTTAATCCAGCATTTAATCCGTACTCATCAAATGAATAGCCAAATCTATTTCTATCATAATGGTTCTTAAAAACAGTTGTGTATAAATATGGACTAAATAAGGTAAGTAATGGTTTTGTAAAACTAATGCTACCAGTAGAAAATTTTTTGTTGGATGAGTATATATCAGACACAAAATTTAATTTTTCACCACGGCAGAACAAGTTTAAAAATGATATTCCAGTTGAAAGTTTAGGATCAGGGTTATTGTCAAAATGTGCATCAGATACAACTTTGACATGCCCTTGAACCCAATTACATTCCTGCACATTAATAGTAACATAATATTTATCTTGTCCATCAACACTATCAACATCTAGTTTGGCAGATACATCATTGAAACATTCTAACTGCATCAGGTTTCTTTTAACTATCACGCTCTTGGTAATTACATCACCGATGGTTTTGGAATCAAAAAGACATTTTGTAGCTTTTTTAACGACATCATCTTTAGTTCTTTTTAGGCCAACAATTTCCACCCGATTTATCCTGATTGGTTTTGTCTCTATCAAGTTTGCAGTATCCAGGACCATGATTATTGATTTGTTTTTTAAAGCTCACAGATAAAATAGGAAGTAAAAAAGTAAATAATAACTGTAATTTGATTTAATTTCTCACCAGACGGTCTTTATCCAATGTGAATGTAGCCACAGATTTATCAAATGAACACGACGCTAAACGTTTGCCATCACAACTCCAACCAACTGAATGTACTTTCGACGTGTGCGCTTGAAATTCTTTGACGGACTTGTGAGTTTTGAAATAATCTTTTAACTCATTCACATTGACGTCAAAATGTTTCCAATAACTCATTATAACTTAGAAATATTCATCCTACGTGAAAAATAAAGTATAAGAAAATTGTTGTGTATTTTTTAATTTCTTACAATTTTGGTATATTACACATGTTGATAAAACTTCGCAAATGTGTTAGCCGCCGAATTACAGTTCTATAACTAACCACTGTCGTCTGATACTTTGGTTATGGTATAATCAGTGTTGCCAAGTATTAAAATTAAAAAAAATTTAGTTACCTGTTAAAAATCAACCAAATATCAACCTGAAAAAAATTTAAATGACTATAATATTCAACCAGATACCTATATTATATTTTTCAAACATTGATAATATAAGAACTAATAAGTGCACTATTAATTATTATTTATTATATTGTATTAGTGCTTTACTGCTTTTAGTTAAAAAAAACAACATTTAAGTTAAATATACATATATGAATAAATTTACATAAATGCTGGTAGATCATCAAGTAATTCAGTGATTTCTGATATTTTTTTATCTACATTACTTTACTACTATAAACATCCATTGTCTGATAGGTTTAACAATAACATCTGGAAATTTACAATTATGGCAACATTTTTTATTTCTTTTTAAGCCTGAAAGAATATGTAGAAGTGATATTAACATTGGCGATTTCAYTCTATTCTTTGACTTGTTCTTGACAATGTTCATTTGGCTGAAGATTCGCTCGCATGCAGTGTTAGACCAGGGAAATGAAAGCATTGTCATAGCCAAATCAACAAGATCTTATAATGGATTATTACCACCCGCATCATTATCACTTTTATTCTATGTCATGAAAAATTGTCTAATTTTAAATTAATCGAAAATAACTTTAGTTACCCTTTTCTGGTTGATTGTAGCATTTGTTTTTCTTTTTTGTGCCATACGTTGTAATGAGTCTACAATGGTGAAGTTGATCACAAATTAAACACTTACCTGACTTATTGCTCTCTGTACGTTTAAAAAACTGCCAACCTTGCTTGGTGCCATGATTTAAAATGAAAGTTAAAGTGCTTAATCACATCTTGTATACAGTATTCACTTTATTATTACAAAATAATTGTTGGATTTTCATGTTGTATCTTATCGCAAAAGTCAAAGTGGAAGCATATTATGAGTCTATAATCTTAATTTATTACCAAGTGGGTTTTCATCTTAACCGACAATAGATAGATACTTAATATACTTATAGGAAAATATGCATTTAATATTTTTAATATAAAATTATAAGCCAACAACTGTACGTCATATCAGATATTTTATCTTCATTTTTTTATTTTCTAAAATACAACAGACGAATCAAATTTACAAATGTATACTGGGTAGTGAATATTTGAAACAAATGCACTTTACCACGCAYCTCACGAATTTAGATTTTTTTTTAAGACGTGTTTTTCAACGCTGATTTCGAAAACCGTTTGAATTTTTGCGCGGAGACAATTATTTCGGAAGTTATAGCCCCTCAAAGTTTGCGACCTTATGTTTATACTCATGCGCGCAACACTACTGCTGCGCGTAATGCGTAAAACGGTTTTAGATTTTTTTTTTTTTTTCCCGATGACAATCTTAAATTATGATTATTTTAAAAATTAAATATTATATAATATAACTATTATAAATTAGGATATTTAAGAAAAGAAAGCACATTTTAATTGGTTTTCGTTATATATTTACATCAATATTGCTAAATAATATATTTTATAATTACCTATCTTATTACCAAATTGTATAGGTATTATAACTAATATGCATATAGCTATAGCATATTAAATTATTTCTATGATTATAGAATAAGCTATATTAAGTTATTTTGCAATTATTATCAGCTATATTGTAATCACACTTGTAAAAATAACAAGTATATTATAGTAAATTTTTAGAATCCTACCATTAAAGTAAAATAAGTGTATAGTAGCTCCCTTCGCCTACCAGCTCCGGTCGCCAAACTCGTRGTCCTACGGACCTCTCGTTGGATGGGGGCTAGGCCTCCAAACCCCCCGGGATTAAATAGCAAATTTGGGGGAGGGGAGAGCATACCTGCCCTGCGGGCAGACGGATGACCTAACAAGTAAACTTAACCCTGTTAGTTATAGTAACACAAGTATAATATATAAGTAGCTTCCGTCGTCTATCGGCTCCAGTCACCTAACTCATGGGACCACCTTCAGTCTACCGGCACCAGTAGCCAAACTCGAGTTGCTCTGCGGGGCAGTAAAGTAGTATGTCGTGCATGAGTATATAAACATAAAATCGCAAACTTTGAGGGGCTATAACTTCCAAAATAATTGTCTCCGCACAAAAATTCAAACAGTTTTGAAATCAGCGTTGAAAAACACGTCTTAAAAAAAAAATATTGAAATTTCGAGAGGTGCGTGGTAAAGTGCATTTTAGCCGAATATTTACTATTTTTTTATTTTATTTCAGTTGTACTTATCCTACAGAAGAATTCAAATTAAGGCTGTATCATATAAAAACATTTTTTATTTTTTTATAACTAAAACTTAATACTGTTTTCAATACAAAGTAAAGTGCAAAAATATGTACCGGTTTTACAATTTAAAAGTTCAAATAATTTTTTTAAATGGAAAATGTTCGTTTATTTATATTAGAATTTATAACGAAAAATTTAATTTTCTGATTTAGAATACAGAAATCCACAATGTGACACCCAAATATTCGAATTTTCAAATACAAAAATTTGAAATTTGGATTTTAAAATCCGAAATCCGGATTTTCGGAGAAACCAGATTTATTTCACACCACTACTATTGTCATCCATTAATATCTTGCATTATTTATGCACTAAATTATTAATGGGATGAATACAATTAAAAAATTTACACTTAAAGAACTATTTTTAAAAGTTAAGATATTATGTCATTAGTGTAACAATTAAATAGTTATATACAAAATTATTTCTTATTATAAATGAGCAATAACATCAATAAATATATCAAAACTATTACATCAAAGAGTTTTGGGTACATTTTGTTTGGTTGAAAATAAGTAAGGAGTTAAATGATTGTTTCCCAATGGACATACGAATAGCTGTAGTTGATTTCAATAAAGCGTTTGATGTAAAACTTTCTGGTAACTTTGTTAAATATTGTGCACACGTAATAGAATCCATTTGCATCAATTGTGACTCATTACTGTRTAAAATACCTATATATATTTATAATAATTAACAATATAAATACATGTATCTTTTATTTTCTAAAGTAAGTTTTTTTTTCAGTTTTCTCCAAATAAATTGATCTTAAATATTATATATGAAGCAATTTATAAAATAATATAACTTTATTTATCATTAAATTAACATACCTAATGCAGCTCGAAATAAAAATTGATCTTTATCTCTTAAAAAATTATCCCAAATAATAGATGCCAATTCTAAGTTCATTGATTTTGTAAAAACTGAATATATCCAATCAACCAAGTACATTTCAGAAGTTAGACCGATGAGATTAAAATGTGTATTGAGTCTATTCAAATTATGTTTAAGTAGATCATTATATGTAGAAAAATAAGAAGTCATCTATAACAGTAATAATCACATAATGAATAAATTTTAAATAGGTATGGTTTGTATTAACATGATACTAACCAAACGTTGGTTTACGGTATAAAATGCATTCAAGCATGGAGATTCCATTAAATTAACAAGACAAACAAATGCCTCAAGTTCTTCCATATTTAAAAGTAAAATCGCAGCAATAAAACACATGCCCTGAATGTAACCAATATCAGGCCGGAGACAAACATAGGCACTAAGAATACGTTTTAATACGTTAAAGTATGGTCCACCCTAAAAAAAAAAAAAAATAGTTAAATAACAAAAGCCAAAACATTTATTAGAAAATTACTATAGTATTTGTATGATGGATATTTGTTGAACCTAAACCTAAAACAGTATTCTAAGTAGTAGTAACACTTAAAAATACTAAATTATGAATCAAAAATGGATAAAAATGTGTTAGATTTACTAGAAGTCTTGCAAACACTGGTGATAGTACTTCTGCATTTAAAACCATTGCTGGTAGTTGAAGCTTTGAATTACTTAAATCAAAATAATAAAATACCAACTAACAATAAAACTTAAATTATATATTATTTTAATAAACAAATGTTCTGATTAAACAATAATTATTTATAAATTATAAAACCAGAACATAATCTTCAACATTAAACAAAATTATGCATTTGACTTAAATTATATCAATCATATGAGTCTGGAATAAAATTATAATATTATAATCAAAGACCTGTAAACATATATAGTTCAAACATTGGTATTTGATGGGAATTCTAATTCTAATTGGCCAAGTTCAGAAAAATTTGTCAAAAATAGCATTGCTGAGTTTACTATTTCCATAGCTGTACTCTTATGATAAATTATAATTAACTACCAAAACACAATGTATGAATATGTCATGGCTTTACTCTATTGTTGATGTTCAATACAATTGTTAACTTCTCCCGGGGAAATAACGTCAAAAATCTAGCCGCCGAAACAAAATCGAACTCGGGTCTCTCGCTTGCCGGGCGATTGCTCTACCACTAAGCTACTCGACCCACAAACACCCATGACGCTATATCTCCAAGTTAACGGATGTTTACACAATCTTAGCTAAATTAGTATGCATTGTACTTTTAAAGAGTTTCTATGATTGCACATCTAAATATTTATAATTTCAAAACAGTAATATACTATGGCTTATCTGGGAATTGTATGCATATTTTATGAAATTATTAAACGACTAAATAAATAATTATTTACTTGTTGAAAAATCCCCAAGTGAGGAAATGTACGCGTAATATCTAAATGTATGTATTCCAGGCAATCCATAGCAGCTTCTGAGTCTTTCAATTTATTAAATGAATTTGAAACACAACTTTTATATAATTCTTCATTGATAAGCAAATCATTGCCGATGGCTAAACACCAAACTTTACCACGTACACTTGAAGGCAAACCATTCCACCAAAGATCACGACATCTTTTTGTATGACACCTAATAAAAATAAATACACAATAAAGGATTAAGGGAGATGTATTAGATTTAAATATATACTACATTTTATGCCAATGTGGAATTATTTCTTGAGTCCATATTTTTGTTACATTTGCTAATCGTTCTTCATTTTGTAATTTTTGTTTTAAATGTTCTTTATGTTTTTTTGCTCTTTCAGATTCTGCAAAATTTAAATATTTAGTATTATTTTTAAATAAAAACTGCAACAACAATATGTTTAAAATTACCATTTTTCTTTGCATTTCGTAAAATTTCCTCATACAATTTCTCATGTTCTAATTGTTCTTTAGGTAGTTTGGCTGGGATTTGAGTTGGTCTACAATTTAAAATTAGAGCCGTACTACCGGCTATTTTGTCTTCATTATCAATTGTTCTGGTACTTATACGATCAAAAGATTTAACTCCAATATAGTTATTCTAAAACAAAATAAATAAAAATTACCTTAATATATAATTTATGATCAATGTTTTATTTTACTTTTTGAATAGATTTTCCAATTGTCAATAAACAGCATTCAGATGTTTTCCTAAAACCAAATAGTACAGACAAAAATAATATGAATTTATTTTATTGGTTTGAAATACAATTATAACTGTTGATAATTGTATTAATATACAATTAATATGTTAGGATAAATAACTATAGGTAGTTTACCCAATATTCAGACAAGTGGAATCAATTGATGTATCAATGTCAATAAGACATTCATTAGATTTTGTTATACTGCCACTGCATGATGAAAATAAAGATATTTCTGATTCCAATTCGTCTGGACCCGAGCCAAATATGGACGAACATGCTGTCCTAGAGCAACTACTGTCATCTGAATCAATTGTATCGCTGAGGTCTTCTGCAATAGTTTCTCGGTCAATGATTGACAAATCATCAAAGTAATAGGACAAACATCCATTGTCGAATGGACTAGTCGATCCGGAATCGTTCATCAATGATGAATAATAATCGTTTATATGATAGTAATACAATCAATGAACCAGTGGACATGCTGTTTTCTTCAATCTCTGCATGTTAAAATCGATATTTGATAGAAATTTGTACCAGATTAGTTTCTAAAACAGTTGTCATCCACGAACCACAAACGTTGAAAAATCAAGTACAATTCGTATTACTTAACACTAATACACTATACGTCTATTCACTATCAACATTTGACAATTCGACTATTGTTTATTTGTATTTTGTTTCATGTTTCATCACTTGTTGATGCTCAAAAGCTCTAAAATATCTCTTGTTATCACATATCACTGCATATTTTGTCATAATTATTAATTATTGTGATTTGACTGATTTCCTTTCTAAAATTTGATAATGATTCCATGTTCGGTGACATGAACAAAGAGCCAAAGAATAAAATAAATAATGTAGARAACATGGACATATGAACAAGTAAATGCCCGAAATGGACTGTGCTTAGTGTGCTTAGAGAGAGAAAACGTCAGCCAATATTGAGCAAAAGAGATAGATCTATGAGTTGGGAAAAACAGTGTCACCGTTATAACGAAACTGAATTATGTGAAATTTTAAATATATAAGCAGTTTGTCATTAAGATACCTGTTGATTAATCATTTAGAATTTATACTTCCATTTTCGTTAATTTATGTTTAAACATTATAGATTTGATTTTTACGTTTTTTTTTTTTATAATTGAATATAATTTAAAATGGTCAATGTCTGTTGCATTAAAGGTTGTTCCACAAAAACCGCCAAGTCATTATGCTTCACAAGTCAGGTTTTTTCATGCATCTTTAATTCATTTTTGTACAATAAACTATTTTATTTTATTTAGAATTCCAACTGGTGAACTTGGTGTTAAATGGGTAGAATTTATTAATTTATGTATTTTATATATTTTTATATTTATTTATTATTTACCCATGGTTCAATTTTTCAAAATCAGCAGTGGTGTGTGATACTAAATTTACTAAAAAATACTATACTATTTCATTTACTTATTTACAAAATTTCCTATTAAAGGAAAAAAAACTTAATTGCAATGCTGTGCTCAGTATTTTTAATAACTCAACTAATAAAAACATAATACATTTTATGAAGTAAAAAAGCAAACAAAATATTTAAATAACATTTTTTTTTTATTCTATAAACTATAACAGGCATTCAGTTGTCATGCAATCAGTCTACTGCTTCTGTACGAATATTACCAATAGAAGTAGTACCATGCGTTGATAGTAACTTGTGTAGGAGTGTACTAATTTACTAATATAATGTCTATATATTATTTAATATAAGCTCAAATTATTATTAGCTTCGCATTGCATAAATATTTTTATTTATTTTAAAACATATAGTTTA